GGGGGCGGGCTATGCATGGCTTGCGTGCTTCCGAGCGGAAACCTTATCGGGGCCGAGTTTGTTGGCTATGTGCACACGACAATGGCATTCAAAAATGATTTACGCTGAGAATCCATACAATACAGCCAGAGCAGGTCTGTGCTCGGCCAGACAGAAGTAGATCAAACAAGCACGGGGTAATATGTCACATCACGTCACACTGCTCCATTGAGCTCTAGTCATCGAACGTGTAGCGCAGCCACTCGCCAACCGCCCGCAAGCTCTCCCACCGCACCGATTCGTCTTTGTCCGTCATCAGCTCCATGACACGAGTCTTCAGACCCAGCTTTTCCAGCTGTGCCCGCCGTTCGGGCAGTTCCTTCACCAAGTGACCCACGTCGTTACAGGCAATCGCCAGCACCTGCTTGTCGTTATCCCAGCTCTTGGAAATGATTTCAGACAGCTTCTTCGGCAGGGCACCGTTGTTCTCGTCGAGGATGCGACGGGCGTTGTCCTTCCAGAAGGTAGGGTTGCGGTGGGGCGGGGACCACCGGAGGTGGCCGGATTGCAGCTCAGCTGCGTACTGATCGAACGTCGTCTGTGTCTTGGTGTACTCATCCAGCATTTCGGACAGGAATGTGAGGTCCTCCAAGAGATCGGGGTCGGTCAGATGGCGGCCGGCGAGGTTCGTCAGGAGGGCAGGGAGGCGGACAAAGACTGCGACCGGGAGCAGGGTGGTGCGGTTACTAGACAGGAGGTTGTTGAGGGTCGCAAGGAGGAGTCGCGTGGTTTTCTCCTTCGGGGAAAGGCGTAGGAGGTGTGTGTACAGCTGGACAAACTCGTAGTCCCTATATCCATGGTCAGCCTCATTCTACCTTACCCCCGTTGGGAGTCAGGTCACATACGCTTGCAGATCATCACCAATCAACTCCCCTTCAAAACTGAGCTGCCAGAGGACAAGCAAGACCCGGTACAACAGCTGAAGACCAACACCACCGGCAAGACCAGGCTCGATTGCGCGCGAGCTGCCAGCCAGGGTGCTGGAGCTGCTATCTTTAGCACCCGTAGCTGCACGCAGGATCTCAACCAACGGCTCGACGGTCTGCTGCCTCTGCTTCCAGAAGATCTCGCGAGACCTCGAGGTTCGTAGCAATGCGGACAGCTCCTGAACCCCGATATCCTGCAGCCCGCTGTCTTGGTTCTGGGTCAGGGTAGAGAGATAGGTGTACAACTGCGGAAGCGCTTCGTCATCCCGCGCAGCTGGCTTAGATGACGTGCCCAGGCTGACGGAGACAAGGTTGGTCAAGAAGGTGGAGGTGAGCAGAGGGATCGGGTCTTCGGGGTTGGTGGAGTGACGCAAGAGGGGAAGGAATGGCTTGTAAGGGTCGGGATGCGCGACCAGGGCGGTCGAGAGGGAGGGGACATCTAGAGAACCGGGATGCTCAGTATTCATTTCCATCGTCACTATCGCAATCCGACCAGGGAGCAGGTGCCCGTACCGTTGATCAAATCCGCGGCCAGCACGAGAATGTATTGCACAATATCGGTTCTCCTGGAAGCGGAGTCCAGCACGCTCTTCCCTTCAGAGCCACCAGAGAGTAGACCAACATAACCAGCCAGATCCCCCTCGACAGTCTGACGCCGCTGCTCCTTGCAAACCTTGTCCACCGCCTTGATCTTCTTCAGGTGGTCATCGGTGATGTTTCCCGCTCGGACAGCTCCCTCCCATGGGATGGGACGAGCTCGGATGTTGTTCTGTAGCGAACTGAGATAGGTGGGTGGCTCCAGGGGTAGCGACGACATGGTGATTCCGGAGGGAGGGGGGAAAATCAGGAGCCAACCGGAACGGAGAAAACTGGATTGAGGGGAGAGAGGGACGGGGGGTTGCGGAGGTGGTGAAAGAGGAGGAGGTTGGGGAACGGCCAGGGAGGAGCCGATGATGATACGAATCACGTTCGCCGTCACTCTGTCTAGTGTCTCTCCATCCCCGGCCGCCAAGCCGGTTGCGCTTCATCGCTTCTTCGGAGTCCACGCAAGCTGCAACGTATCGACTGAACGGCCCCTCCTCCTCTCCGACTCCGATCGGACAACTCACTCTCTTTGGATCTCATTGCTCTTCCACTCCCTCGGAATTCGTGCTTCTCTAAGCTAGTCTCTCGTTTGTGATTGCTTCCCGCGTCCGATTTAGTACTACGGCCTCGTCTTCCTCGAAGTGACGACAAGCCGGCATCAGATCGCATCATCGTCTAAACTCCTCGCTTTCCATGATTGAATTGGCGCATTCTTGCTGCTAGGTATCCTAGTTTGCGGGAGCAACAAAATCTACAGCCGTCACCATGTCGCAGGGTTCTCAGGGCTCCAAGCCGAAATGGAAAGTGGGCTCTTTCCTGCAGCAAGCCGTTGCCGGCGTTGAGTCCAGGCTGGACTTGATCCTGGCCGAAGAGGAGGATCAGAAACAATCACAGGCCAAGATTGCGACCACAAAGCCCAAATCAAATGAGCAGACAAGCAGTACGGAGATACTTGATCGATTCGGGCGGTTGTACTATGTCAGATCGCTAATGGCTACCAGGTATATCACGCAGTTCGTCGAATGCGCGAAAGAATGATCGCCTTCAAGAACGCCTGGCTCGTGCCGTGGTCAAGTCGAATACCGCTGGCAATACTTCCTCGCAGCCTTCCAGCCATGCCCCCTCCCCCGTCAGCAGTCCAGTTCCCAGCAACGGTGGACGCTCGAGCATGGATTTTGATGCTAGTCTTGATTCCCAGAATGGAAGTACAGGAAGACATTCTCGAAATTCCAGTCGGCAGGGAGTAATCGCAGCTACAGAGGCTCCTCGGATGAGCCAGGACTCAGCCGTCTCCTCACGCCGCTCTCAGGACCTCGTTTCGCAGACCGAAACTGCTAATGTCGAGGAGGCTGCCTCAGCAGACACCTCTAATGCGACACATGATACCACACAAGAAGACGGCGCATCATCTCCCGAACCTGATCTAATTCCCGCGCCGACGATTTCCCTGCCAACGACGGATACCCCTACGGACAGCCCCAGAACTTCCAGCGAACAAGATAAGTCTATTGCGCAGTTACAGGCGGACCACAAGGCCGCTGAGTCGCAGTGGCAGGAGGAAATGTACGGATACATCGAACGGATCGATGCGCTGCAGTCCAAGTTAAAGTATTTGGCCAAGGAAGCAGCGGAATCTGCCAAGAAGGCAGCGGCTACAGCAGAGCCAGGGAGCGTCGAAAAGCAGCTTCGAGAAAAGGACGAAAAGATCGCACTGTTGCTCGAAGAAGGGCAAAAGCTATCCAAATCGGAAATGGACCACAGAACCGCGATCAAGAAACTGAGGCAGCAATTGGCAGAGAATGCAAAGGTGCAGACTGAGTCAAAGAAGAAGACCGAGAAACTGGAACGGGATCTTGCCAATGCAGAAATAAGAGCCAAACGGGCCGAGGCGGCCGAGAAGAGAGCAAATGACTCGCTCTCTGCGCAAACGAAGGTGTCTCGGGACCTGGAAGCCGCGACGGCAGAGCGTAACGCACTCAGCCAGACTGTACAGGAATTGAAGGGACAGCTTGCTCGATCTGTGTCCAGAGCGGAAGCCGCAGAGGCCAAGGCCCAGTCTGAGGCACTCGAGCAGGAGAAGCGTCGCGCCACCCAGTTGGAGGAGGATCTAGCAAGCGCCAAGATCGAGCGTGAAATCAGTGAAGAAAAGCTGAATAGAGAGATCAGCGATTTGAAGGGAACCATTGAGCAGGAAAAGGAGCGAGCGCGTATGTTAGAGATTGAGCTGAAGGGGGAGCAGTCGGCGCTGGAAAGTAAGATGGAGTCCTTGCGGTCTCGGGCAGAAGAGGCGTCTTCCGGTGTTACAGGCGATGCGCAAGCGAAACTCCTACGTCAGATCGAAACCCTTCAAACACAGTATGCTGTTGCTAGCGAGAATTGGCAGACCCTGGAGGGCTCACTACTGGCACGGTTGGCGAACGTCGAGAAGGAGCGGGATGAGGTTGCACGACGGGAGGGCGAGATGCGACGGAAGATCCGCGAAGTGGTAAGATGCCCTAATGTCCTGATGCAATGGCACCAGATAGACTAACTGTGCACAGAACCTCAAAGCGAAAAGACTTGAAGAAGACCTGGAGAATGCCAAGGAGGCCGAGCATGACCTCGAAGGAAAGCTCGAAGAGCGCATGCAAGAGCTACAGAAGGCAGAGCAGAAGCTGAAGAAGTCAGCGGATGACTTAGCCCTGGCTCAAAAGGACCTCGTCGAACAAAAGAAGGTGCTCGATGCTACATGGTCGCAGAAACTAGAGGAGGAGCGAACCAAATGGCGCGAGCAGACCATTTCGCCGCCCGCCTTGCTCCAGCAGCCGCGGACGCAGTCCCCCGTTGCCTACAGCCGGAGACCAAGTGCTTTGGAGCCTGTCTCACTAGACTTCCGGCCCACGAGCCGTCGTTCCTCGACGTTACCAACTTCGCCAGAAGTTGGCACTCCCACTCGCCAGAACTCTTTCCCCAACTCGACCTTGATGCTCTCTCCACCTCAAACCAACGGCTCCTCCCACCACGCTGTCCCGGAAACCCCGTCGATCACTTTCGAGCCCGACGAGTACTTCAGTCGCTCCGGTACCCCTTCGGCCTATGGCGGAGCAGCGACACAGCATTCGCGCGGCATCAACGACATCATCTCCGAGTCGACTGTCGGGGCGGGACCGTCCGTGCAGCTGGTTGAGCGCATGAGCGCCACGGTCCGTCGCCTCGAAAGTGAACGCGCAGCATCGAAGGACGAACTCGCCCGAATCACTACACAACGTGATGAAGCACGCCAGCAAATCGTCGACTTGATGCGCGAGGCGGAGGAGAAGCGATCCTCCGATGCTCGCGTGCAAGATCTTGAGAAGCGGCTCGAGGATCTTGACCAGAGATACCAGACGACGCTCGAGATGCTCGGCGAGAAGAGCGAACAGGTGGAAGAGCTTCAGGCCGATATTGCAGATCTGAAGAAGATCTATCGGGAGTTGGTTGACAGCACCATGAAATAAGAGGTGTTTGTGCGTAGTAGACTTGTCATTGCTGCTCTGTACATAGATTTATTCGTTCGGGCTAGACTCCGATTTAGACGATGTGATGTGAGACATGCCTTGAAAGAGAAGATGTCATGAATCCGTTAATTACTAAGACAAAAAATAATATGGAAACAGTTATTCGATGAGCCTGAGAGTATCAAAGATAGACTCCGGGTATTAATCCTTCTTATATCTTCCATCCATCTGTCCTTCCCTATCCAACATATGGATAAACTATAACTCGATCCCCTCCCTCTCCGCCGTTTGCAGGATATAGCTCCGTACCTATACGCATACCCACTATCAGCACACACTCCCACCTCAAGAGTCCACTAAGCAGAAGTAAAAAGACTAACCTTGCTATCCGGAGCCATATCAATGGCCAAAACGCCATTCGAATCCCTCTTATCCGCCTCGGCACCGGCCTTGAGCAACGTAATCGCCGCATCGCCGTGGCCCTCTGACACCGCATGATGTAAAGCCGTCAATCCATCGACATCCGTCGCGTTCACAGGGCTTTTCCCATCCTCCAGAAGAATCTTGATGATGGGCGACGACCCGATTGCCGCTGCTCGGTGCAGAGGTAGTTGTCCGCGCCTATCCTTTACTCTTGCGCTGCACTTGTTGGCGATGAGGGTGCGGACGGTGGAGAGGTTGGCTTTGGAGGTTGCGAAGTGGAGGGCGTTCTATCGTAATTACAGATATCGTGTCAGGAAAAGGTGGCTTAGGAGGAAAGGGAGGGGATGTACCTGGCCCGAGACGCTCTTCGTGCTTACGTCTGCGCCTTTCTTGAGTAGGAGGTCGATGATGGGATCGCCTTCAGCATTCTTCAAACTCGATGCGATCATGAGTGGTGTCCAGCCGGAGCCATCCTGGGAATATGTTAGTGAGGAGTCTGATGTGGTATGTATCTGAACGTTGAGGTAATGACGAACCTCGACATCGGGATCAAAGTGCTTGCTGGATATCAGTAGCTCCACGATCGGGAGACGGTTGTATGCTACCGCCCAGTGGATGGGGAGACGATCATCGTCATCCTTGACGTTTGCTAGCTTGGGGTTGGCCTAGATTCCATCAGCGGGGGGTGTTCGAGCTAATAGTGAGGTTGTATAGAGCTCTCTGATGGCGGTGCGGGGCAGCTTCGGAGTAGCACGTACACTGAGGAGAGATTCGGCGATTTGAGCTGGAGTAGATCTGTTAGAGCTTATCACAATGATCGGGTTAGATGATTCATACTTTTGCCCTCCCGGGCAGCCTCGTGAAGAGGGAACTTAGCTTCCTGACCGGTATTCATGATGGATGTGGCAGAATTACATGGGATCGAATAGCATCAACTAATCAATCGGCGGGGTTGGCATCTGGACCTCGACACCTGAGAGCAGACTTGATGCCTCAGGCATACAATAGCTCGCCGCCCGCCGAAAATCAAGTCGAGCTTCGCTGCCGCTGATTCCAACTTCGCCTTCACTTTCAATCATCACCAATTCCACGCCTGCGCCGCGCTTTCTCCTGTCATCCCGGTGCTTAATACACCCCGCATGAGGCGCACCTCTAATCTTGATTAAAAGCCCAATACACCCCGCCCCGGGGCTCAGGACGCGCCAACGACACGTCTCCGCAGCAAGCAGCTCAAACCTCCACACCGAGTGTCGGAATACCCTCCAATCCACCACAATGGACGTCGTTCCCTCTACCACCCCAGACGAGGCAGTGCGCCTCTCCGCCAAGCGGACAGCCGAGCTCTTCGGCTCCGACTACCTAATGGTCACCCCTTCCGTCGCCAATGGCTCCATCGCCACGTCCTACCGGCGCAAAGCAGAATACGAAGATGTGAAGGAACTTCCCCCAGCGCTCGCCGAAAAGCAAGCCAAAGCCGTGGCCGCTGGACGCGCCAAACGCCCCAAGATCCAACCACAGCCCCAAGCTGCCGTGGACGGCAGCGGCGCGTCCATGGCCCTCGTCAAGAAGGCTCCCGGCCCAGCAGCCGGCGGCGTCGGCGGTGAAAACGCTCCCAAGAGTCTCATTCAACGTCCCTCGGCGACGAAACAGCAACGACCCGACTGGCACCCGCCATGGAAGCTCATGCGGGTCATCTCCGGCCACTTAGGTTGGGTGCGCAGTTTGGCCGTCGAGCCCAACAACGAGTGGTTTGCTAGTGGTGCCGGCGACCGAACCATCAAGATCTGGAACCTGGCTACAGGTGCCCTCCGTCTCACTCTCACGGGTCACATTTCCACCGTCCGCGGCCTGGCCGTATCCCCCCGACATCCCTACCTCTTCTCCTGCGGTGAAGACAAAATGGTTAAGTGCTGGGATCTCGAAACCAACAAAGTCATCCGTCACTACCACGGCCATCTCAGCGGCGTCTACACCCTCGACCTGCACCCCCGTCTCGACCTCCTCGTCACAGGTGGTCGTGACGGTGTAGCCCGCGTCTGGGACATGCGCACCCGCGCTAACGTCCACGTCCTCGCCGGCCACAAGGGCACCGTCGCCGACGTCAAGTGCCAGGAAGCCGACCCGCAGATCATCTCGGGCTCCCTCGACGCCACCGTCCGCCTGTGGGACCTCGCAGCCGGTAAATCCATGGGCGTTCTCACGCACCACAAGAAGGGCGTGCGCGCTCTCGCCACCCACCCCCGCGAATTCACCTTCGCCTCCGCCAGCACCGGCTCCATCAAGCAGTGGAAGTGCCCCGAGGGCGACTTCATGCAGAACTTCGATGGTCAAAACGCCATCATCAACACCCTCTCCGTCAACGAAGACAACGTCATGTTCTCCGGCGGTGATAACGGCTCCATGTGCTTCTGGGATTGGAAGACCGGGTACCAGTTCCAGAGCATCGATGCTGTCGCTCAGCCGGGTTCGCTGGAAGCCGAGGCGGGTATTATGGCTTCGACGTTTGATCGGACTGGTCTGCGTCTTATTACTGGTGAGGCGGATAAGACTATTAAGATCTGGAAGCCGGATGATGAGGCCACGGAGGAATCTCACCCTGTTACTTGGGCCCCGACCTTGGGGAGACAGAGGTATTAGTTTGTTAGTGTGGCTTGTGGTGTGCTTCTGCTCATTATCATCAATACCCCGATGTCTTGTTTTAAGTTTGTTTATCTTGCTGTGTGGGGAGGAGCTACTTTAAGGGAGGGGTTTAGTTTTCTAGCTTTGATGTTATGTCATGCTGTGTATGCACTTAGGAGTTTAGCGTTAATTATTTGGGATGTCAGCTTGGTTCCCTGGGAAGGGCTCATAAAAGGAATGTATCATATAATTTCTTAGAGATTGGATGTGTTTGTCTTCATAGTTGGAAGTTGTAGAAGTCGGATGGTGTCTTAGTATAGTTTCATTTAGTATTTGTATTGTTTCATTACTAAAACATATGGGTATCATTGTTCTTATACAGTATGTATCATCTAAATTGTCCCGAATATAGTGAGGTATATCACTGATCCAAGCCCAACCCAAGCCCCTTGGCTTCGTCATCCTCGCGGAAAGCAATTTTGACATCCTCTGCAGCGATACGTAGTCGTACCTTTCCGCTGCGATCGCCGCGATGCGGTATAGCAGCGCTACCTAGCGGTCCCTTAGCACCGGCTCCGTACTCCAGGGCGAGAACGCCCGAGTTTGTCAGTTCCATTGCAGCGTAGCCCAAAGCTCGTACGCGAGCGCCGGTCCCTCCGGCTAATAGGAACTCTTTGATGCCGGCGCCTGCTGCTCCGGCCACGGCCACGGCCGCGTCGGCGATTCGTTTGGCTTCGTCGATAACGTCGCCGAATGCTGATTCGGAAATACCGGTGCGCCGGACGCGGGCTAGCATGGCGGCGAGGAAGAGCTTAGCGGCGAGGGGGAGACAGCGGAGGGACTGTTGGAGAGGGGTTGATGTGGCTTCGTGGATGGCCTGTTTGATTGTGGCGATGGTGACGCGGCCGACTGTTTGTGGTTTGGTAGGGGGTTTCTTTTGAGGGGAGGACTGGGCGGATTGCTTGAGGGATCTTTCTCTGCGGGCCGGGGTCTTGCTGGGTGTTGGGGGTAGGGATTCGGTGTCGTCTGCGTCGGGTTTGTCTGTGTCTGGGTCTTGGGCTGCTGCTTCGCTAGCCTGTTCGGCGATTTCGACGGCGCGTCGACAGATGTCCAGGGCACGTCGTGCGTCACCACTAACGGCGGCTACCTTGCGACTGGCGAATTGAATGGCATCTGCGTCGACGATGTTTCCCGGTACGTTGGCTAAGCGGGTGCTGATGATTTCCATCAGATCGGTGTGCTTGTAGCCTGGGAAGGTGATACGGGTGAGACCCAGACGGCTGGAAATTTTGTTGCTGAGTGTACGTTCCGGAAGATCCATAGTGTTTGCGACAGCCAAGACAATAAGGCGAGAGTGACGAAGTGCAGGCCAGTTGAAGAAGTTGTACATCACGGACTGATTCTTTGTGACAAGCTGATCGAGCTCGTCCATAAGAACGACGCAAGACACTCGTCGTGGGGATGGATGTGAGAATTCCCGCTCAAGGAGGTCGAGAGCATGTGAAGGCGATACTCTGTCACCCTTGAGCGCTTCCCAGAGCAGCGAGTAAGATTGGTGGGGATCGGTGACCTTCATGCCGTTGATTTCAACGAAGATGAAATCGTCCATCTCTTCTGCCAACACGGCCGAATTCAACTGCGCAACGACTTCGCGGACCGTTGCTGTCTTTCCAGTACCCGGCGTCCCTGAAATGTAGATACAGGCCCCTGTCCCTTCCATGATCGCGGCACTGAGATGACTATAGACTGTTTCAAATTCAGTCTTTCGGCATGGGAGCGATGTAGGCACGGTGGAAACGTGCAGCAACGTGCGCGCCTGGCGGTACGGGGAGGCGAAATGAGTGGGTGAAAGAATACGAGTACCAAGAGGTGTGAACTCGAGTGGCTTCTTGACGACGATTCTGTGGGAAGTTTAGTCAATGTTTGCTTGGAGAGGCTTGTTTGCCTACCTCTTATGAGCTGGTGTGGTAAAGGTCTTTTGACGCCGCGACTGGGGAGTAGCATTTGTAGCCACTTTCTGTCTTTTCCTAGGTGTGGTGGGAACGAATTCGTCCTCTTCCTTGGTGTTATCCTTCTTCTCGTCATACTTCAATATACGTCAGCACTGTGAATCCACCACGATCAGGAACATCACTCACATCTTCGTCGACTTGCTTGCGCTTTTTGGCTGCTTTCAACCCATCCTTGATCAAGGTAATGAGATCAAAGACCCTATCTTCACGGTACACATCCTCCCAGACAAACTCTTCTGTATAACGTCCTTGCAGCTGGTTCACTCCTCTCCGAACAACAATGCACTTGTTGAACTCCGCGAGTTCTTCTTTTCCCTTCGGAGGAACACCGTCTGGGTACTTGGCGTAGAATGCATCCTTGGACATCACCGTAGCTTTGCCATTGATCGACGTAAGAGGATTGACGTTGAAATCGGCAGTCAGGTATTGCTCGTTGGGCAAAGCGTCGGTTCGTCGCTTGTTCCGGGTTGACATGAATTCATCCGGGGAAGCAAACCACATGATGTTTGCCGATTTGATGACCTCGTCCTCAGCATCTGGGTCCTCCTGTTCCAGAAATTCCGTTATAATGCCAATCCAATCTTTGCCTGGTTCTGGGGATTTCAAAAGCACCACCTGGCCCAAGGCGCATTCGAACGAGCCCATCCGAGCTCCGACAATAGTCCGGCGGCGTTTGGCATTGGGGCGAGGGGTGCGTCTCCGGCTCGATTTGGGGGTATCCTCTGCAGTCGCCTGTTCGCTATGATTGTTGTTCTCGTCGTTGTGGTCATAGATCCATTCCCAGGGGTGGTCTTCTTCGCCGAGTTCGTCGTCGGAGTCGTCACGGACAAGACCTCCTTTGGTCATCCATAGCTGAGCACGCTTGCGGACACTAGACTTGCGGGACCGCGACTTGTCTGCCTCATCGGCAGAGTCAGAAGCCATTGTCCTGCAGAGACCAGTGAAGAAGGATGGAAGGGGCAGCGATGGCCGTACAGAAGTGATTGGAGTGATTGATGGGATGATGGATGATAATTGATTGATTAGTTTGTTGGACCGGCGACGGAAAAGACAGAAAAGGGAAAGGCGCGCCCGCTGCGCGTTTCCCAAAGTGGACAACGCGCAGCCGCTTCTGGCCAATGACAGCGGGTATTGCCTCCCGTATACTTCGAATGTGCCCGTATAGCAAACGCCATACAAACCATCACTCCAGTACTACTTTATCTACTAACTACTACGAAGTACTCCTAGTAACGTCTGGTTTTACAACAGAAGATTTAAGCCTTGTAATAAAACATGGCTGCAGTCCATGACTAATGCCCATAATTTAGTACTTTTTGCTTCATTTTGTTTGCTACTTCTTCATTATAAACTGAACCATATTTTAAAAGGCCCAGCTTCTCTTTCTACTCTGATACACTTGATTCCTGCTGCTGTTAATCATTTCACACAGCTTCACAGGTCTCGTACGTGACTCTCGCCGTAGAGAATGAAGCGGCATTACCTCAACTGCCTTCACTTGACCTGCTCCTTCCCAGTAAGAAGCTGCTCCAGGAATTTGATCCGCGTGGTTTGCTTGTAGATTTGTCTCTAATGCAAAACGGATTCTTGGGAGAATTCACCGGGTTCTTCCTGCCAGCCAGTAAGTGTTTCTCGGTAAACTTAACCATCCCACCGTTTTCACTCCGGTCTCTCTTTCGCTTTCACCGTCCTCGCACTGTCCCTTCACCATCAACTCTACCGTCACTACCACTCCCTCTCATAAATCCCGTCATTTCCCATTCTCTCGATCGACTTTTCCGAATCCTCACCAGCGCTGTGTTAATTGCAGTTTAGATCCTTCTGTGATCTTCAAGTCTAGCGTTGATAGATAAGTTCACGCGGTTCACAATGGCTGCAAACAAGACACGCGTCGAGTAAGTCCCAGAATCTATGGTGACAGACACTGGCTAACTGCAAATAGCTTCGAGTCCTCAGGAGCCCAGGGTAGATACTGTCTTTGTCCTTGTTGTTTACTTATTCCTTAGTTGCGTATAACTGACCTCTGTGTGTTCTAGAATGGACGCTTCCGGGCTACGGAAAGCAAGGTTACTATCCATCCCAAGCAACAGCAAAGACCGGAACTGATCAATCTATACCAGACGCTCCCAAAGCCACTCCGGATGAATATCCCAAGCAGCCCCCAGCTGCACCTGCCAATAAAGGCACTCTCAGCACGCCGGTGCGCCCCGCAGTTGTCCCACGACCAGCACGAGGCCGTGGAGGATATCGCGGACGGATTGGACGCTCAAGCGGGGTATCTCCTAAACCAAACCTTTTTGGAGACTCACCTGCGAAATCTAAGTGGAGAGGCAAGCTGGAGCCTACGGGTAAGATCAGATCCTGCGATGTGATTCAAAGGTCGCTAATAAAACTACAGGCCTCGTCAAATTACCCGCGCCTTTCGGTACCTTCAAGAATGAGTATGCATATGCCTTTTACAATATTATTTCAAAATGTACTAAAGCTGTGACAGATTTTTTGGCATTGCAAGATTGACTGGCTCAATCAGGAAGCCATCGGGGGCGCATGGCCGCTATGAGGTCTTTGAAGAGATTAGCCGACGTACAGGTGCCTTCATAAAGCCGCCCTTCTATAACGACAATGTGAGCTCCTTTGCCTCCACCAAGGCGCACACTAACGGAGATAGACTATCTACCTATGGGGCGAGCCGTTTCAGGTTGCAGCTGCAAAAGATATCATTCTCACTATCGTTGCGAAGTGCAGCAACGCGGGCAAGAAGAAGGTGGGATGGGAGAAGATCATGGCACATTCAGTCAGCAAAGAAGCTCGTGTGGAGTTGAAGGAGAGATACAATGCCAGGCTCCAGATACTGCAAAAGCAACCCGATTCCTCTTCCGAGTTTTCGGACCTTGTGAGTAAAATAGGCTTACCCGTTTACATACCTCTTCGACCGCCTGACTGACACTCCCTTGTAGATGCTCTTCTTATGGCCCAAGGAAGGACCTTCTATTACGGACTCCCTGGGTCCGCAGCTCGAGGCCCTCGATCACATACGGGTCAAGTTCAATTGTCATGTCTTTGTTCCAAAAGATCTCCCCAATCATATCTGTGCTATGGGGCACAACGATGAAGCCATGAGACAGATCGTCCGACGCCTCAGAACAAAGTGGACTGAGGTTGTTGCCAACTATGTTGTGAAAGGCAAACTCTACCTCGTCGAACCTCCGACTGCCATGAAAAGTAAGATTGTCGTGAAGAAGGACGCCCGCCTAGCGAAGCCATTACTCCGTGGGACCCCACTCCAGGGCTCAGAGGCGCAACAGTGGCCCGATCGAGCGAGTCTGATCCAATCAAAGAATAATGCCCGGCTTCTGAGCATGGTTGAGAGATGTCTGAAGGGCGTGGTCGTTGTTCGTGGGCACTTGCGTATGCGGGTCAATCTCGGCTCGTTTGTACTCGACCAGTACCGCATTCCGGCGGACGACAAACCATACTATGTTCTGGAAGAGTTCAGAGAGATGATACTGCACGAGCAGACTAAGGGACGCTTGATACCAGGGTAAGCTCCCCTCCGTTGTGTTTGTGGCGATGTCACTGATCATTCGTCATCCCTACAGCCTCAAGGTCCATAAAGACGAACTTCTTGCCAGATGTTACCGGGCTACCCATCTGCTTCAGCCATATCTCAGCACGGCACAATCGCTGAGCAGCGCCGAGCCTGCATTTTCAGTGAATTTCGAATTCCTAGGCCAAAGCAACTCCATGCTTCGACTGGAGGCAGAGTTCGCCAGGAGCCCCGGTGCATCAGAATACGAGACCACCCAGCGAAGGTGGCTTAAACCCCGTCAGGACGGCCAATCTAGCGACAAACGCCCACCCCTACAGGTAGCCGTCGTTGACTTCGAAAAGTCTGACTGGCAGCTCGAGTTGAAGTCTCTGGAATTTTACCAGGCCAGGTCAATTGACGCTGCATTGAGAGAATTTGCAGGTGCTATCAAGTTCAGAAGCACCGCTACGATGCACGATATCTCGGCCAAGCCTGAGAGAAAGGTCGAATTCCCTCAATCCGCGCCGGTGGCTAGATTTATCGAGAAGTCCGCCATTCGGTACAAAATCAAAGGTACAAACTATACCCTAGAGATTGCTCGCTACGATGAGTATAGCCGTGCAAATGCGTCAGCGTTGTCCAACAAGCTGCCGGCTAGTTATGCGGGTCCTTTCACCACGGAGCCTAACACTTCCTGGGGCGCATCATTGTTCGACCCTCACTGGGACAATCTCTTGGGTGAACATGCCAATTTGGCTATCGGGCATGCTGCTCAGTATGACTCAAGTCTGGAGAGCTTTTTCCCGGCAAGAGGGGCAGGGGGCAATTCGGAGAAAAGCCAAGGTTTCTGGGCGTTTGTCGACACGGTGAAGCAGGTTGCGGGACTAATGGGTCCTGTACGGACCACCGCAACCTCTTCTGGAGAGAAGTCTCGGCTTGGGGCCAATTCTGCCATGAGCGTCAAGCCCACGACGGTTCAGGGCCGATCGAGCGACTCGTCGCCGGTCATGGGCATGACCGATCTGGCTGGACTGCTCAATGCAGACCTCGGAACCTTGTTCTAGTCTCATAGAGGCGACAAGGGCCGAGGTGGCGTCAGACCGAGACTTCCTTGGCGTGTCGACAACACGCAGGACTACGGCGGCGTGGGGGGAGATAAGGGCAGATGGAGGCGGAGGGGTTCGTTAATATGGTATTGTGTTGTGCATTGATATAGCTTAGCTCCAAATTGCCAGTTTTTGATATTACCGCCTCCAGAATGTCAGCCAAGTCTATGTCCTTCTGAATTGTAGGTGACAGTGGAGTTCCTTCAATGGAGCTGGCGTGCTCGTAGCGGACCTGTCTCTTGCAACCCGCGGCCTGGGTGACATCAGACAGGTCTGTTCCAGTGCATCCTTACTAGGGTGTAACAGTTCTAGTCGTAGTTCATTCCGACTATACCTTCATCCCAAGGCCACGCAATCTCCTATGCTACAAGTCCAGATCTACTCAACCGGCACCCGCAGACGCAGTAGCAGCAGACCCAGCACCCTCAGCCAGCAACTTCTGTCTCAAAGCTAGAAGCCAATCATTAGTTTACCACGAACCAAACCCAACAATGCACTCAGTTGGCAGAAAATGCTTACCATCCTCAAACAACCTCTGCTGCTGACTCTTCGTCTGCACAATCTTCTCCAACTCGGTAAGATTCGTCTCCAGCTCCTTGACCTTATTTTCGTAGAACTCGATAGCTTTGGCAGCAGTCTACCACCACATTCATTAGCTCCACAACTCCTCCCAAGCAACAACAAGCTAGATAGACACTTAAACAAAACAAAAGGGTATCTGTATCTCACCTTCTCAACATAAAACCCCGTCCCGACATCAACAAGCACCTTTTCCCGATCCGCCAACTTCCCCTTCACATACAACGAACTCGTCAACGGCACCAGGATATCCTCCTTTCCGTCGGTGCCCTTTTTCTGAGACCCAATTACACCTTCGTTGATGGAGCGCACGCAATCTTTGAATTTGAGTTGTGCGGCGCGAAGCTTCGCGTGCGAGGTCGTCAGGTGTTCGAGTTCGGAGGATAGGCGGGTTTGGAGGGCGCGGAGTTGGGGCACGGAGAGGGAGTTGATGTTTACTAGAGTATGGTTTGTTAGGGGGTATGTGGGTGGGTTTGGGGGGAGGGGGGAATGTACCTGAGCCCGGAGGGGGGGAGTCGGACGATGCGGGGGTGTTGGGGGGTGGCATTTTGGGTTTTTGGTTTGGTCTCTGTGAGATGGTGGTTAGATCGTTGTATTTGGGGGGTGTGGTGTTAGGGTTTGAGGGGAGAAGGTTGTGGGTGGGTTTGTGCTGTACTTACATACTGGGCTGTATGGTAGTGGTCGTGGTGGTGGTGATGCTGGCTTTGAGCTTTGAGGGTGGCCCGCGGTCTCAAGTCGAGTGTATGGTGGGGATGGAGGTGCATAGGGTGCATAGGGTGCATAAGTGGTGGGTTGTGCTGGGTGGGTTAGTCAGCGGGTGCTTGGGTGCAGCCCTATATTTGTTAGTCAACTGTTGGAGTGTGAACCGGGGTGGTATAGACGCTTTTTGCAGTATATTTCATCTACTTACTGATCGAGGTGCTATAGAAATATTATAGTGTATGGGTTTTACATTGTTGAGTTGTGTATGTTGTTGGTCGGGCTTTTAGACATTTTTTTTTATGTGATACTATGGTATGAAAATGTCTACAAGGTAGTTCTACGAATAGCAGTCGCAAACTGTTCTGCACCAAGCAACGAGTGTTTCTATATGTTTTCTGTATATCTCTTTTCTATATCCAGGGATTTGTATAGATATTCAAGGCCATAGGCAGCACAACATATCTAGTAATCAGTAATATCACCGACGGTCATCTCACTGTCAGACAAAAGCTTCGTGATGTTATAGACAGTAAGTACATCACGAACAACAGCTTGAATCCGCCATTTCAGTGCGAAGTCAGATTATCACGGATCATAAGAATAGGCTATGGTTTGCAAGTCGTTTCGCATCATCGCGAGGTCGTCTAGAATTACAAGAGTCAGTTAAAAAGCCCGGGATATGCATGAGGCGATAAAAGACTCGTGAAATTGAATGTACTCACCATCATCTTCGATTGGATACTTCTCCAGATAGTAATTCAGCTGACGCTCAACAACTCCAAACCGTCGGACTTTCTCAAGAGTCAACTTTCTCACACCAAACTTATCGTAAACCACTAAACTGTACATGGCTCCAACGGCGTCACGGAAAAGTTGCGAGATCTTATATGTGAGACAATTCTCGGCGAGACTCGCTTCTGCCCTTTCAGTGAGTGTACATTCGAAGACGGGCGATGCAGGACGGCTGTCTTCGGGTGAGGTTAACTCGATTCCCATGTTGAAGTATCGTGTGCTGCTGTTACTCGGTGCTCGACGATGAGTGGGTTTGAATGTGGGCTTGTTTTGTACATTTGGTTGGGAAGTTGGGTGTGGGTGTTTTATAACATCAGCAGGGGAGTATTGTGATAGTCATAAAGAGGTGGATAGAGATGCCCTGTGTAGTACTTACAGGTATATCCCAGACTGTTTCAGCTCTTGATTTGTGTTCGGATTTACTGATGAGTTCTGTTATCATAAATCCAGGTAAGTCATATAGATGATACGGAGTCTGCCCAGTTTTATGGGATTTATCTTCAACAAAATGGCTCTCGCCAATAGGTCGATGATGTTCGAGTTGAATGAACTTATATATATAACTTTATTTTAGAGATAAGAAGAAGAGGGAACTTTCTAGTCTTTATAGAAAAAGCAGTCATGTATAGGGCAAGTTTCATTGAATAAGGAAATTTGATTTTAATATCCGATATTGCGCTTACTCACTCACTAGTATGGACATCTCGACATATGCAAGCCAAAGCGGTGATTATCGATGCTGCATAGGTGTAAATCAGAGGCTTGGACTTATTCTTTCCTGTTCTCAACTTGTATAGAAGATTTCCAGTATTGTGAATATATCCTTGGCATGTCCAGCTATTCTAGTAAATGTGAGAAGACAAGCTGAAAGAAATATTGGACTGCATTGCCTCTACGAAAGGAAGGAACGTCTTTCATTGTGGAGAAATTGAGATTGATAGCATGCCACTCATCAAGGACGGGTCATTCAAAGAATGATGTCTAAGGCACTGTTACCATCATTGTTATGAGCATTATTATCCAGAATATCGGAACATCCCTTTGAGCTGCTACTCATCAAGCCCGCCAAACTACACTCGAACGAAGCAAAATTTCTTTTATTCCTTTCGCAATAAACCGTGCACCAGCACATCACTAGACATCACCACCCCTCAACATCCAAAAAGAGGGAGACAGAAACCACATCCAATTTCCCTAATCTGCAATCCAATAATCCGCGACAGGATCAAAGCCACCCCTCTGTTCAAACAGATTCACCAGAGGAAGAAACAGCTTTCGAGTGGGAGGATTGATACTCTCTGTACTTTCATCCACCTCCATCGAATCACTCTCAGGAATAATCTCTTCCTTTTCAGAAAAGACAGCCTCATCGTAGGCAGCTGCTGGGGTTAACTTCCGAGAAACCCTTTCAAACCAAGGATGACCTTTACCAGCATAATAATCCATTCGAAGCTGTTCCCAGGTTGTCCATTCCCAGCCGCTGCATTTGTTGGGTTCCATGAGCTGTTGGTTGTTAGTATGTTCCTCCGTATGGAAAGTAGTGAATATTGAAGAAAAAGTCCACATGACCACAAGATATTTGTAATAACATCAAGCACGTAAATATGATTTGAAACAATAATTAAAGAAGGGAAAAGAGCAAGGAAGAAGCTAACCTCAGGTTGCGCATCCACATCACAAAGCTTACACCCCATTACCACAGTAATGTAGTGCTTTCCCTCATCTTTCATGATATCGTTAGTGACAGTCAAGAAACGGATGTCTTGGACCTTGAGGTTCGTCTCTTCAAGGATTTCGCGCTCTGTGCATGTCTCGAATGACTCGTTGAGTTCGAGATGTCCGCCTGGAAGGGCCCAGGTTCCTGAATTTGGAAGTATATTAGTATGATAAAGAAAGTTGTAGCAGCGGCGAATTTTATATTAATTGAAACCATGATGTTCTCGTGGTAATAGTTATGGTACTCATGAAGGTAGGTACATACCAGCACCGTGACTGCCTTTTCTCTGACCGATGATAAATTCGTTGTGACCGTTGAAGATAAAGACGGCGACACCGACACGGGCATTTGTGTGGGCGGTCATTTTGTGATGGTTTGGTTCGGGTCGGAATGGCAAGCTTTGCAACATGTGGAATGAATGGGTCCGGAATGACTTTGTTTTAGTAGTGATAATGCTCAGGTGATGAGAGATGAGCGCAGGCTGCAATACTGCAGCGAGATCGAGTCTACTTATCTAAATTTTATATTGTGTGAATAGATTCACTAGTACTGAAAGTGACTACTGCAAGGCGGGATTAACAGACTAGGCTGATGATGCAAAGTGGCGGGTGCTTAATTAACGGAATGGAGGGGTATATATTAACGGAAGTTACCTAGTAATTAAGAGTGATAGTGTACAGTGATTCTACCAATGTGATATAGTGTGGCGCAGCTTGCATTGCCTGCCCGTAACACAGCCCGAGTGAAGTTCCCTACAGCTTTTCAAGCAAAGAACCCACAAACTCCGGCAGAGCCTCCAAGGCAACATCCTCACGTACTTCAAGTCGCCGACACTGCACTTCCAGGGTGCGCTGCTTTTTCCAGCCTTTGCCTACGACCACAATCACAGGGTATCCAATAAGATCTGCGTCGCCCAGCTTCCAGCCCATCTGCTTATCGCGGTCGTCGAGGATGACGTCCAAGGCAGTGGTGGGCTCTGAGGTGAGCGCGTCGTAGATTTTCTCGGCTTCCTCTTCCAATCCCTTACCGGGGACGATGATGACTTCGTAGGGAGCGATCGCCCGGGGCCAGTTGAGTCCCTTGGAATCTGCCAGGTTGTCTGCTACCGCGCTGATCATGCGCGATACTCCGATACCGTGACAGCCCATTTGCATTGGTACCAATTGGTCTTTTTGAGACGATGAACGGTCGCCTGCGTCGAGGTGAGCGCGGTCAACCACCACAGAAGCCTGGAGGACATCGCTGTATCGCGTGCCAAGGTGGAACGTGTGACCAAGTTCGGTGGCTTTGTGGGTCTTTGTCAGACCTTGGCCGCATTTCGAGCATTGGTCGCCTTCGTGCACCCGTACAAGGTTGAGATAGTTGTTGGTTCCTGGGAAGCGATCGAGCTTTGAAAAGTCAATGTCCTCAACGGCGCGGTTGATCCCGTCCAGTGTGTCCGTCAAAGGAGGGCGCTTGTATGCCCGTACATATGAGTCATACACATCCAACACTCGGGGCCGCTGGCTGGAAGCCTCCTCTGATTGAATGTGGGTTGCCCATTGTTCCAGGGGATTTTCGATACTGATATCGAGGTCTATGCCGGCTGCCTTGGCTATAGATTTGACGGCATGGGAGTTGACTTCCCTTTCAGCTGGCGGTTCACTAGGATCCTTCAAGGTATACTGCGGATACCAGCAGCGCAGCAGTGTGTTTTTGTCGTGTGAGATCGCCATCCACAGGCCAACAGAAACAGCTTTAGCTGATTCGCCAGACACCTCGCCCGTGTCAAAGCCGGATGCGTGGCCCATTTGAGCTTGCTGGTCATCGATATTATGGGCCTTTCCGTCGGCAAGCTCCTCGTTGTAGACACTATCGCAGCTGGAACAGCTGATAACCGTGTCCTCGCCCTTGTTGCTAGCAAAGTGAAACTCGTGACTTAGGCTGCCGCCCATGTTCCCAGAATCTGCAGCAGCAACCAAATAGGGAATCTTGAGCTCATCAAAGAGCTCTGTGTAAGCCTTCTTCACAGCTGTGTACGTCTTGAGGGCATTCTCAGCGTTGTAGTCGAAAGTGTAGAGATCTTTCATGATGAATTCACGCCCACGAAGTAAGCCTTGTCTGGGTCGTTGTTCATCTCGGTATTTCCTTGCTAGGTTGATGTGAGCTGTTGTTCTTAACTGTGGATGATATACTCACATATTTGGTACACCCGCACAGGCAGATCTCTATAAGATTTGGTAAGATGTCCTACTAGGGTGGTGATTTCTTCTTCATGAGTTGGGGCAAGAAGAAAGCGGGACTCTTTCCGATCCTGAAAGCGAAAGATCTGAGACAGGTATTAGCAAAGAATCAATGACTACACAGCGGATTCCATACCTCAGAGCCCTCTTTGAGACGGCCAGACTGCTCCCAAAGTTCCTGAGCGGATAGAGATGATAACGACACCTTAGATGCGCCTGCAGTGATCCACATGATGAGAAGGAACTCTATAACTGCGGGCCCATTGCATACCTACCAACTGTTCGCATATGCTTATCAATGAGACGCTCCAGCTTATCTTGCACACGCAGTCCCAGAGGTAGCATATGGAATATTCCCGAGTAAGCCTAGTCCCGAGTTAGAACTATATCTATCGTATTGGGGATGACACTCACCTGTCGCAAAAAGCCACCTCGGATCAAGAGGTCATTGGCATCCTCTGAGCAACATTAGAAGCGGTCAACATTGAGATGGGTGGCCATAACCAATACCTTTCTCACCCTGAACGGGCTTTCTGGTAATACCGCCCGTCGGGATCCAGAAATTAGACACCCGACTGCGCCCATCTACCTAGAGAATAGTCAGTGGGACTGCTGGGTTGAGAGTGAATTAGGTCATCTACATGAAAGGCGCATTTTGATGTTCTATGGAATCGAGCAATGCCAAAGTATGCTCGACATGTTGCGGAATAACGGCCCGGAACCGGGCGAAACCCGGAAATCATGAGGGCGGACGATCAGAACAAGCCCTCAGTACTCGGCAGTAATGTTCATCCAAACCAATGGATGACACCATAACCAAGCCAGATCAATCGCAAGTAAATAGATCGCAAACATGCGAAACTCGACAACTTCGGATGGTCCGTGCGCCGACCCATGGGTCTCGGCCCGCCGTTTCTCCGGCGGCCTGGCGGCTCTCCTCAATTTTTTGGCGGCAGAAAAAAAGTAGATGCAAATCCCCATCATCAAGTCTACATTTGGCCGTACAACTATCCGTCATGGCCAAAAGTAAGGGGAAGCGCTCCTCCGGAGCAAACGACGCCATCCCCGACGGTGGTGTCGCTGTTAACGACTCCGCCCCCGCTGCTGATGCCCTTCCACAGCTAGAGGAAAGTGCATTTGCCGGCTTGCGCCAGAAGATCGAACAGCGACTGAAGGACCAGAGCGCCTCGAAGCAGAAGCCCAAGAACAACAGGGGAAAGTCGGGTCCTAGTGATACGCCACAGAAGAAAGAACCCGCACCCAAGCCCCAGCCGAAGCAAGCGTCCAACAACGACAAGAACAACAAAGGCAAGAAGCGGGACCGCAATGGTGAGGTGATCGCGAGGGAGGACAAGGTTGTTTCGAAGGATAAGAAGCCGGCATCGAAGGAGAACCAGGACGATGTTTTGCGGCAGGAGATTTTGGCCCTCGGAGGCACGGAGGAAGATTTGGATCTCATCGCCGGGGTTGGCTCGGATTCTGAAGTTGAAGATGCTACAGAGAAGAAATCCAAGGGCAAGTCCGACGACGCTCTCCGGAAGGAACTGTCGAGTATTCTGGCAGCGGCCGGTCAGGTTGTCCCTGACGACCTAGAGGACGATGAGGTGGAGGAAGAGGAAGCTGAGGAGGAAGAAGCAAGCGAGGAAGATGATGTCGAAGAGGACGATGAGGAAGAAGTCGAGGATAACGAGGACGAGGAACTGTCAGAGGATGAGGAGCCAGCTCCTGCTCCCGCCCCGAAGGAGAGCAAAGAACCCGCCAAGAAAGAGAAAGCCAACAAGGAACCTACCGCCGAAGTCGTCTTTCCCAAGGAGTTTGCCAAACTCGTGAGTTTAACCAGCCCATTTCACATATATCCTTCTAATGTAGCCATTAGGCTGTTCGACCCAGGTCCGATTGGTACATGACGGAACTGCCCTCTATACCGACAGCACAAGCGAAGTCTCTGCCTCGCCATGTGGTGGATCGGTTCTACGATTACGCCGTCTCCCTCCTCGAGAAGGAAAACAAGATGTACGCGGAAGCGCAGCAAGCATCTGCCTCTTCATCCCACAAGTTCTACAGCACGATCATGTCTACCGGTACTCTTAGCGATAAGACCTCTGCCTTGACTCTTGCTGTTCAGGAATCGCCTCTTCACAACACGAAGGCAATGGAAAACCTCATTGCCCTTGGAAAGAAGCGCAGTCGTGCTCAGGCCGTGGAAGTTTTGAGATCGCTCAAGGATATGTTCGCTCAAGGAACACTACTTCCTAGCGACAGGAGACTCCGGGCTTTTGCCAACCAGCCGTCCCTAATTGCTGCGTTGCAAGGCGCAGGCAGCAAGTGGTCCGAAGGAGACCCTCTCCCTGGAGGGCTTCAGAAGAGCCACTTGATCGTTTGGGCGTATGAACACTTCTTGAAGGATCAATTCTTTGAAGTCCTCAAGATCCTTGAAACCTGGTGTAACGACGAGATTGAGTTCTCTCGCTCCAGAGCTGTTAGCTACGTTTACGAATTGCTCAAGGAGAAGCCGGAGCAGGAAACGAACCTCCTGCGACTGTTGGTTAACAAATTGGGAGATACTTCGAAGAAGATTGCTTCGCGGGCATCTTACCTCCTGTTGCAACTTGAACAGGCGCACCCTCTGATGAAGCCCACCATCATCGCCGCCGTCGAGGAAGTTCTTTTCCGTCCTGGTCAGAGTCAACACGCCAAATACTATGCAGTTATCACGCTGAACCAGACGGTCTTGAGTGTCAAGGAGGAGACCGTTGCACTGAAGTTGCTCGACATCTATTTCTCCATCTTTGTTGCTCTCTTAAGGCCTAACAAGGAGCCAAAGGGCAAGAAGAATGGAAAGTATGGCAACAAGCACAACAAGAATAAGGGGAAGGAGGACGCTGATAAGGGTCTGGCTCAGACTGAAGAGGTGCGGGATAAACTGACCTCTGCAGTTCTGACTGGTGTCAACCGAGCCTACCCGTTTACCAGCTCGGATAGTGAACGGTACGTTTCGCATATCCTTCATTTCTATATATCACTAATCCGTAATTAGACTCTCCAAGCACATCGATACTCTCTTCCGCATCACACACTCCGCAAACTTCAACACCAGTATCCAGGCGCTCATGCTGATCCAGCAGATTACCTCGACTCACCAGGTTGGTGCTGATCGCTTCTACCGCACGTTATACGAGTCTCTTCTCGACCCTCGGGTTGCTACATCCTCCAAGCAGTCGCTCTACCTCAACCTTCTATTCAAGGCCTTGAAGAACGATCTGAACACTCGCCGTGTGAAGGCGTTCGTGAAGCGTATCGTTCAGGTTCTTGGGTTGCATCAGCCCGCTTTCATCTGCGGTGTCTTCTACCTGATCCGTGAACTGGAGAAGACATTCCCCGATCTTGCTTCCTTGTTCGATCAGCCGGAAGAGAACGACAGTGATGACGAGGAGGTGTTCCGCGATGTTCCTGATGAGGATGACGAGCCTCAGGAGCAGCCAGAGGTCACACAGAAGCCGGAGAAGCCTTCGACTCAATACGACCCCCGCAAGAGAGATCCCGGTCACAGCAATGCCGACCGGACATGTCTGTGGGAACTGGTAAGTTTATCCTGCCAATGAAATGTTGTCACGCGCTAATAAGGTATTATAGCTACCTTACCAGTCTCACTTCCACCCCTCCGTGTCAGTGAACGCGGCTCATCTGCTCGACCACAAGCCAATGTCCGGACAGCCCGATCTCACATTGCACACGTTGTCCCACTTCCTCGACCGCTTCGTCTACCGGACCCCCAAGGCGTCTGCGCTCACCCGTGGTTCATCCATCATGCAACCTCTGGCAGGCAGCGAGGCCAAGGATCGGTTGGTCGCGGGCGGCAAGTCGATCCAGCAGCTGCCTCTCAACTCGGAGGCCTTCTGGAAGAAGAAGTCTGAGGAAGTTGCCGCGGAAGATGTCTTCTTCCACGAATACTTCAACCGCATTGGAAAGGGTCAAGACAAGGACAAAGCCAAGAAGGCCAAGGATGCAGTCGACGAAGACGAGGAGGATGCCGAACTCAGCGGCGCCGAGTCCGAGATCTGGAAGGCGTTGGTTGATTCCCGTCCCGATCTGGAAGCGGGCAGCGACGACGACGATCTCGACATGGACGATCTCGAATCCGCTTACGACAAGTCTGACGATGAAGACGAAGAAGGCGGCGACAGCGAGGTCGAACTCAACCTCGACTCGGACGACGAGATGGAGGACATCGAGGAGGCCGCAGTATCTGATGTTGAGGAGGAGCAGCCTGCCACCAAGCCCAAGGCTAAGAAGGGCAAGGCCGCCAAGGAGGAAGAGCCATCTGACGACGAGGATGCATTTGACATGGACGTTTCAGACGACGAGGCCTTCGTCGACAGTGACGAGGAACTGCCCTCTGACGTGGAACTCGCCGCGGTTGAGGAGCCTCCGAAGGATGACAAGCAGTCTGAGCGGAAGAAGCGGCGCAAGCTCAAGCACCTGCCTACATTCGCTTCTGCGGACGACTATGCGGCCCTGCTGGCCGGGGAGGACGAGGGAATGTGAATTCGGAGCTTGTAGTTACTACCCTGATATGCTATCTATTGCAGTATACCACAAAAGCATGCACTTGGTTCAGAGTCTATTTTCCATCGTAATCCAGGTATATACAGCACTGTAGCCGCAGTAAAATGCAATAAAACCTACTAAATACCCCTTGCTCCAAGCATACCACCAACACACTACTCAAAGTATGTAAATATGGTACGGCCCGCCGTGATGGCTTCCATTCCATTCCATTCCCCCTTGCGCCAGCAACCCCTGACCCAGCGATAGAGACAGTCAAAAGCCTCGGATTCATTCTCCGAAACTTTTCACCATGCAATCTGCCAAAAAGAATACACGTATACTAATAGCGCCATCAAAATACACAATAAAAACCCACCATCCCGTAGAGAACCAGCTATAACTGATAACTAGCTGCCGATAAGGTTCCATCAATCGCTCCCGCCGTGAGAAGTGGCGTAAAAGCGGCGCCACTAGAGATCAAGCCAGCCGTTATCCTAGATAGATTGAAGCACTAGTCTAGATTGTGGACAGACACAAGACTGCTGGAGGCGTAAGACTAGTGTCAGCCTTAGCGTCTGGCGTCTGGCGTGCATGGCTTGAAAAGAGAGAGATTTTGTCGACTCGGCAGAGTTGCCGTCTTGTGTTGGATAGACCTAGGCCGGGTCATGTTATAGCCATGCTTCATCCTTGTGAGACTGAAATGATGAAAGAGAATCAGGCTCACTTTTAAAGTACAGTGAGGGATAGCGAGTGGAATAGTGTATTTAGTATCGTTGAATTTGTACGCTGAAGTTACATAGTAGCTACACTACCTAACATACCAAGCAAAGAGTTTTTAGTTTAAAGGAAAAGGGTATTTGTTGGTGAGATCTCCCTGCAGTACTAGTGCTGAGCGTGCATATGCGCATAAAGGCACATGGCTGCTACTAAGAGTCTAAGAGTACACTCCTTACCCAACAAAGTAAGTAATCCCACCAGTCAATCCCCAGGCACGTGGGGAAGTGGCTTATCACGCCATCTACTAGTGCATAGCGTGCTCGACAAGGCTTAAAAGAAGCAGAATAATAATAATATAAGCAGTGTCAGATATTTACTGGCAGTGGCGGCTTTTTTTCATTCATCCGTTCGAATTTTCCTCCCCAACCGAACCTTTACAGTTAGCTTACTTTCTTTTTCATTTTTTTTTTTTTTTTGCCATCGAAGGAATGCGAATGCATGGATCCATGCACAAGGGAAAACCAGTAAGAAGATCCCCATACGATATTCGAACAAGGGTCATGGAAAAGCCATCGAAGCCATGCGTTGTCGTCGTATGACTGGGGGGCGTTTATGCCTAGTACTTATCATTCATGCATAAGAGAGAGGCGTAGCTTTGGTCATGCCACACGACATCGTTTGCTTAGTGCAACTTAATCCAGAGGCTGACCGGGGGGGAATGTATGGATCGGGATAAGGTAGCAACAAATGGTTCCATTTTGTTCCTTCAGTTCCTTCCTTCCTCCTTGGAGCGGAAATTCTCTGCAAGAGGGGTTTTCCGTCAAAAAGAAAAAAGAGGAAAAAAGCTCAGGACGGATGCGGGGCAGTTCTGGATCGGGCGGTTCCGCCGCGGACATTGGACGAAATGCTGATTGGCTGGGGAAACAGGCAAAGGTTGTACCGGGAACGGACCAATGGGCGGTGGGGACTGATGGGGGTGGGGTCTGAACGCGGCATTGCTGTTCTTAGCCGAGTCGAGCTTTACGGAGGTGGAGAGACTTATCTATTAGCTACTTTGTAGTGAAGGTAATGATGGTCAGGATAGATGGAGGACAAATATAATTTACTATAGTAAAATTTTGGAAGGGGACACAAGAGACTCCTAATATCTAGTGGTAGTCCCTGGACCAAAATCTAATACTGCTTCTGCTTAGGTTCGTCCCAGCAACCTACCAGACTCTACTGGTAGTAGCAAAGATGCACCGGTGGTCAATCCCGCTGGAGGACGTCATACAAAGTAGATGTTGTCATCGGCCATTCCGGACAGTCGGACTAGCCGGCTGCATTGCACGCCGGTCATTGGATCTCCGAGCCCTCGAATCGCAATCAGCGACCGCTGCTCTGGTTGTTATTTGTTCCCCGGTTTAAATAAATAAAATCGTAAATTAAATCGCCTCTTCCTGTGGGTTTGCTTTTTGCCCAGATAGTCTTGGGGTGAGCAGAAACCACCGGTGCTAGGCAACTAAAACCCATCCGGCGCGCGCTTTGGGAGAACCCAGCTTTCCAGGGCAGTCCAGGTTAAGGAAATAAGCGCATCCAGATTAAATCTCTTTGCTTGAATTTCTTTTTCCCTTTTGCCTCAGCGGTACTTTTTCGCTCATTTCTTTCAATCTGCTCATGTTCACAAGCTTAGCACGTCATTTTTCACTTTTTCATCTATATTATTACCTTGGGTGATTTTGTGATTCTTTGTCGCGCATATCACAAACCCCCCCCCCCCCCCCTGGTCTTGTAGTGTCGATCTGCCTCACGGTTATCTCCAGTAAGTACTAGATTGCCCGCACGTGCCTTCGCCAGTGATATTCTTCTCTAGCCTGAACCTGACAGCTAAAAAGATGTTAGATCCTTCCTCCGTTCTTCCTTTTCGCTCTTCTCTCACCTTCCGTCACTCGCCTCGTTAATTTCTCCTTCACTCGCTGCCGGTCTTCGCTAAGGCAATTCCTGATTACCATCTGTCACCTCTGATCATTTCAGAGCTGTCCTTAACGATTTACTTCAGTGATTTGGAGTCGTCCTATTTTGTCGCATCTTAAGGCGCATTACATGCATCCAAAGGCATTTAGTGTCTCTTCTTCCTTTAGCTTCATCGCTTCCTACCACCTGCGGCTTGTCCGCTCGATAAAATGGCGGAGTCCAACACTTTCAAGCCCGTCGTTTCCCGTCGGTCGTCTGTCTCCGACAATGCCAGTGCCGCAGATAAGTTGAAGCAGATGGATCTGGAAAATCAGAAACAGCAGGTGGGCTCCGGCTCAGACACGGAGGGGGAAATCGGTCGTCAGATTGAAATGGAGTCGGAGAATTCAATTAAGTACCGTACCTGTAGCTGGCAGAAGGTATGTACCACAATCCGCCTCATAGCAGTGTACGCGTGCGATGCGCGCAGAGTTGCAATGGCTGACCATAGACTTGTGTTTCATTAGACGGCCGCCCTCCTGTTCTCTGAGTATATTTGTCTGGCTATCATGTCGTTTCCATGGTCCTATTCCGTTCTCGGCTTGGTCCCGGGATTGATCCTTACCGTCGTTATCGCCATGATTGTGCTTTACACTTCGCTGGTCATCTGGTATGTTTTACCGTCGTCGCATCACTTGGGAGGATAACCGCTCATATCGTGTAGGAGGTTTTGTCTGCGACACCCACATGTCCGTGACGTGTGCGACATCGGCCAAATGATCTTCTGGGACTCCAAAGTTGTGTGGTACCTAACTGCGGTGATGTTCTTGTTGAACAACACATTCATTCAGGTATTTTTCTTTTGCTTGCGAAGTTATTTATAGCGCTGACCTGGATTAGGGCTTGCATTGCTTGGTCGGCGCCGAGTACCTCAATACCATCAGTGGTCATGGAGCCTGCACCATCGTGTTCTCACTAGTCACGGCGATTATCTCGCTGATCTGCTCACTTCCACGCACCTTTAGCGCCCTTTCCAAGGTGGCAACCCTGTCGGCATTTACCACATTCATCTCCGTCATGTTAGCCCTCATCTTCTCCGCCATCGAGGACCATCCCGCTGGCTATACCCCGGAGAAGGGAGACCCCATTGTGAAAGCGATCCCTGTGCCCGGAACGACCTTTGTCTCAGGAATGAGCGCCTTTCTCAATATCAGCTACACCTTCATCGGTCAGATCACGCTGCCAAGTTTTATCGCGGAGATGAAGGAGCCCAAGGACTTCTGGAAGTCTGTCACTGCCGTCACCATTGCCGAGATCATCGTGTTCAGCTTGGTCGGCTCTATCGTATACGCCTACACCGGTAACCAGTACATCACGTCGCCGGCATTCGGCTCTCTGGGTAATGAGGTATACAAGAAGGTGTCCTTCTCGTTCATGATCCCGACATTGGTTTTCCTCGGCGTGCTGTATGCCTCCGTGTCAGCGCGTTTCATCTTCTTCCGCTTGTTCGATGGCACCCGCCACAAGGGTAACCACACCGTGCTCGGATGGGCCGCCTGGACCGGTATCCTCACCATCCTTTGGATCCTCGCCTTCATCATCGCCGAGGTGATTCCCTTCTTTTCCGACCTGGAGTCGATCATGAGCTCCCTCTTCGATTCATTCTTCGGCTTCATTTTCTGGGGTACCGCCTACCTGCGCATGCGCCGGGAGGACTATGGACCCAATTTCTACAAGAACCGTGGTATCCGCGGCTGGCTGGGCGCGATTCTCAATGTTACTCTTATCATCGCTGGTTTCTTTTTCTTGGGACCAGGAACTTATGTAAGTCTTCATTCTCTCTCCTGATACCAAAGAAGCCGACACTGACAGAACCCCCCTAGGCATCCATTGAAAGCGTCATCATCAGCTACCGAGAAGGAACCGTCGGCACTCCTTTCTCCTGCGCCAACACGGGACTGTAGATACAACCAACCATCTGAGATGAAAACCAAAGAGCAAATGAACCGGAGATGAAAGTAGCTCCAGGGCTGGCACCACAGACAAAAACCGGGAAATGATGATTTCTTAACGAGTTCTTTCCACCATATGAACGACGACTCTTATTTACTGCTTATTAGTTTTATTATTGTTTGAGACATACCCATTGTTAAGCTACTACCACTATTGTTGTTCGTGTACGAAGAAAAAGAATGCGATTTCCAACTGGCTGGGTGCCGGACTAAGCTGATTGGACTATGGTGGTGGATTTTATAGGGGATCTGGAATGGGGGGAATATATTTATAGTACTAAGTGTGTGTCAGAACTAGTAAAAGGCTCACACATTAGGTACTACTAGTAGTTCTAGTTCTAGTATTAGTTCTTAATTTCGTCCTACTCAGGCAACGTAAATTTAAATACACAGCATACGGAGATGGATGGTAGGACAACAGATGAAGCGAGGGTGATACTACATTACCAGCAGTGTGACATGCATAGTATGATACCAGGTAAGTATAATTGATTACCTACTAGACTAGAATAGTAGGTAAGACGAAGTGTCATGGGTACTAGGTAGTAGTATCTAGTAAGTAGGAATAGGTACTAGATGTGTCGTTGCTGAAACTTTTGCTAATAGAGCAGCCTGTTCCCTCCTCCTTCGTTATTCTCCCTGTCAGTGATAGTAAGGTATATAAAGTACTAAGTACCCTTGACAACAAATTAAACCGATATGGTAGGGTAGGGCGTTAATTTCGTTATAGTAGTAGCGGGGTTTTACATATATACTACCGTTCCTCTATCTGTAAGCACACTAACGGCGACAAACCAGTTCTTTTATGTACTATTATTATAATAATGACTACTACTCAAGCACCACCACCCTCTCCTGCTCCCCACCTCCACCCCCAGCCAACACATACCTAATAATCATACTTTTTCGATCCTCCGCAACCTCAATTGTGTGCGTATGCACACGGAACTCCCTCGGAATAAACCCCTCACCGTCCCTCCCCTCATCTTCAAGATCAATCAGTCCTCGACAAATATTCACGATCAGATACGAATCATAAAACCCCTCGCGATGGGGCCACACCTTCAGCAACTGAAGCGCTCGCTCTCTCGTCTCTGCATCCCGACACCTCACACAGCACCAGAACAGCGACGGCAGGACACCGATATCAGTGACCATGGTAGGGAGGTTCTCGTATTTACCGTACTCAGTCACGAAGGTGGCTATGATTCGTTCACAGAGGTCGTTGATGCGTTTGAATTCGGGTAGGAAGTTGTCGTAACCTAGTTCCGTTGTGTCGAGGGAACAGCCGAGCATGCTGGTGAGGGTTGCTACGTGTGTGAGGATGACGTCCACGCTGCGGGTTTCTCGGAGAGTCCAGGCAGTGTGAAATTTGTGGGAGGAAATGAATGATTTGTGGTCGAGGGTGAAGTCTGTTAGGTCGTGGTGGAGGGCGGTTTGTTTTGCGGAGAGGGTTAGAATGTTGAGGTTTGGGTCTTGTTCGCCGCGAAAGAATATGTTGCAGAGGGATTGGAGGTGAAATATATTGTTCATTAGTACGCGTAGACGATCTTTCGCTTCGGCGATGTTGTGGATTGGCGTGACTTCGTATGCTACTTCCCGCACGCTGCCCTTGGGAGGGTGGCCGGTTACGACGACGTCGGGGCCGTTCCAGTAGGCTCGCGGGGTGTTGAGCTGCAGGAAGGCTTTGGCAAGAATGCGCTCGGTGGCTAGTGCGTGATTAGCTGATTGAGTTTTCAGGATGTTGAGGCCTTGTTGGAGATGGGCGAACGCGTTGGTGTAGTCCCCCTCGAGGAGTTCGAGGATGATGAAGGTGATACAGCACATGAGTGTGATGCCACGGACTTGGGGGTCATTGGATTGGATGCGTCGGCGCAGCATTGCCATTGAGCGGTTGTATTGTTCCAATGCGAAGTGGTGATGGCGGTGATCGGGTTTTGATTTCAGAGTTTTGATGCTCCGTTCGTAGTCCTCATGAAAGGCACTCAGCGCGACTACTGCGTGGCAGACGGCAGGTTCTCTGTGACACATTTGTAGTACGAGACGTTGCCATACTTCCGAGTCCGCATACCCCACTAGCATGGGGATGGTGTTGTGCTCGAAGAACTGGAGACATCGACGCTCGTCGGAATCCAGTCCGGGAAGAGAGAGGACGAGGCTCCTTGATGGTTTGGAGACTGGTGCTGTCACCTTACGAGAGGGTAGTCGATATTGAGTGTACCCGTCGCA